CTTTTGAGCTCAAAAAACCACCGAAGCTTAAACGAGCAAATAAAGTTTGATTTTCCCTTGTTGAAAGTGCTTTTTCTTTCTATACTTTTGGACAAGGGTACGTAGAATTATCCGTGGCGCCGAATGTTAAACTAGGCTAATGCGGTGAGTGATTGAGCGACTTTGTGAACGTAGGGCGAAATGTCAAGAAAAATTTCCGGAACGCTGGATGGCATGAGTTAATAATTGAACAGAAATGGGGGAAAAAGTATTCACAGCTAACGCCACGTCTCCACAGAAAGCATGTTCTTCATCTAAAGACTCATATTTAACTGTCTTGAAAAACAATCCGAGAAACACCTTGTTCACGCACCTGTAACTTAATTAACTAAAGATTTCGCTTCTCCTAAAAGACATGACAACTCTACGCGGATTACAGAAACCGGGCATCTGTTTCATATTAGATTGAATGATTTTTTCGAGATTTGTCGCATTCCCTCACAACCCTCTTTTCCCAAAAGAAAATCCCAATATTGTTCATTTAACACTATTTTAAAATCATATTCTTTAATACAGCGTTGTTTGTGCATTCAATGCACGCGTTGCTTTCCCGCCATTTTATACAAACTTTTATATAAACTATATATTACCATACATAACTGAAAGACACTATCATATTTTGTTTCATATAGATGTACTGGCCAAGCTTTGAATTTCTAACAGTCCATTCAAAGTTAAAATGTCTTTCTTTCTTAAATATGATAAACTCTTGACCTTGTCACGCAACATTGCAGAAATTTGAATACATGGGCTTCGTTGTTAAAACTTTTCAACCTGTTTGGCTATTTCGAATTGGACCAAAATGACTTTAAAACTACTGTTGACGAAGGTTCATTGTATTCAGAAAATCAAAGTTATTTTCTTATTAAATTGTTTTGGTCGGTATGTAATAACCCTCTACTGTTTAATTTTACTTGGCTTATAAGCAAGTGTTTATAAGTAAATCCTAAGCAATACACTATTTTTGCGGTCCTTTCATGTTTAATCGCATTAATCAAGTACATTTTTCTGACTCTCTTACAACTCGTAACTTTCCAGCTAGCAACTTGGTCTTTTTATTGGAGAAGTGACCGCGAAATACCCAGGTATTAAGTATCTTTAAAGATTTCCGTAATTTATTACTTTTAACGCGGTCCGTCGGCGAAATCTCCACATTAGAGTTTGGCATTACATACGGTGCCCCGCTGCGTCGTCTCACGGAAAACTCGTGCACTGCAGGATCTTATTTTTCAGATTGACTTCGGTGTCATAGAATAGTCCTGAGAAGAAAACCAGGCAGAATCTCCAAAGTGTAAAATAAAATGAGTTTAATTTCTCATACAACTGAACGTAACTCTACCATTTCTTATCATTTTCAAGTACAATGTATTACAGATATAAATGTATATAAAATCGTAAAATAAATTTCATAAGGTTATTCGTGTAGATAATCAACATAAAGGATTGTTCGTGAATACCGTTTAATTTGGAAACGTATGTTGTTTCCCTTTAAAGTGATATTGTCATACAATTTCACTTGTAGATGCGGCCAAACATGGAAGTACAGCAGAAATAGCCACTGATACACGTGACAATGACGGGACATTTAAGTGAATTGGTCTATAAGAGAAGGTCTGTAATATAATAAAGTTATTATGTTGATAGTATTTAGTATCGGACTGGCTAATTATATTTGAATGTTGTTGGTAAGTAAGATACACCTGATCTGATTTAACATACATGCATATTCATATAGTAGATAATAATTTGTTCTAGAACAGAATATTATTATTCATCATATTTAAATGTTCATACTAAATCGCTTATGTTAATGTTCATACTCAATCACTTAAAACTTTATCAACCTTTTTTTCAAGCAATACTTTTTTAAGAATATCCAAATGATACATTTCTGTTATTTTTTTATTATCAATATTTGAAATGTGCCCATTGTAAACCAATGCACTTTAAATGTATGGAATTTTCCTTTAAGAAAAAAGGAAAGAATTAGAAGAAAGAATTATGCTTGGTTGGCGTTGCTTATTAATTTTGTCATTGTATTATGAATAGTATAACATAATTTACAAATTCCTATGTTTTGCCTATGTTAAAATTAGGCAGTATGCAGAATGCAGAAATTTTTATGGTCCCCTCACTCCAATACAGTTGAAACTGTATATTAATTTCAAACGATAATTTGGTTCTATTTTCAAATGCACGTGAAATCCATTCAAATTCTAAATGGGTAATAAAAAGAAAATTTCACTTATCTTAAAGAACCCAATTTGACATTTTGGAGATAACCCATTGCACGAGCTGATCTATCTCCCATTTACATTAACAGATACGAGTAGTAATAAAGACAGGCGATATTCATCTTACACTGTCATTTTCAGAAAGATAAAAGTGAATTTACTAATCCAGTAAGGTACGAGGGAATTGAGATCGCCGTGGGGATTTGTTTACTTTACGAGTATTTCGGCGGCAACATTTCAAATACAGTAATAATTCCCATAAAATACAGCTCAAGTTATTAGCAGTGAATTTATTAATTCACATTCGTCGTAATTGAATGTTGGATTTGGGAAACACATAGTATTGTCATGGCTTATTTAGTAATAAATATGCACGAGATTTCGTGCAGGTTTTTGCATTGGTAAGCCGTTTTATTGGACATAAACAAACTACCATAATAATACGCAGCAATTTCATTAAAACAGGAATTTTAGAATTTTTTTTTTTGTATTTATTTATTTATTAAGATTATATCTTATTACTTAAGGCTTTAAGCGTCCCTAGAAACAATTTGACTAAAAATCATGTGATGTGTAAAATTGCCATCCATTATTTACAATTACTAATATACATTGTATAATACTAATTAACTCCAACATGGATTATATTTAGTAACTTTTTTAAATTAGATTTTCTTATATAACAGTTAAATATATTAATGTATGATTTGTAAGTATAAATTTTAAATGAATTATTGTCCACTTGATTTTTTTACAGTATTTATGCCGAAAAAAATGAATCAGTGTTAAAATACAAGACAATATATTTCTTTTTATAGAACTTTAAAGAACATGTTTTATTATACAAAAATTCCTTGAAAATAACAGTAGTTCTATGTCATTACGGATTACGCATGTATATACATTTATCTATGTAAAACATTTTTATGATGATTGATATCAAATGGTTTTTACATAAATGATAATAATGATAATTATTATAATATAATAATATAATGATGATGATGATGATGATGATGATGATGTTGTTGTTATTGTTGTTGTTGATGATGATGATAATACATATAATATAATGATGATGATGATAATAATAACAATAATAATAATTGTAATAAATTATATAATGTTTATGATTATGAAAAAAGAAGGGAAGAAGAAGAAAAAGATGATGATGTTGATGATGATAAAAAATAAATAATAATAACTATAATAATGATAATAAAATAAATACATTAACAGCAAACTGATAACAAATATCATCGAAGCATCTTCATAAATGAAATGTGTGATTATGTGTAATATTTGATATAAATGGGTGTCAAATTGATGCACATGTTTCATGAAACGTTGATAAATAGTCAATATTTTGTAAATTGTTCAGACATGTCTTATTTTAAATTATTAAATTATTTGATAGAAAATAGTAAAAAAAAAATCAAAACATAACTTTGGTATCTCTTTTTTTATCCCTTTTTGTTAAAAATAAAGCACAATAAAACTAAAACATGTACATGGTTAATACACATAATTTTTGATAGATTATTAATATTATAAATATTGATGCGCATTAGATTTTCAAAAGCAAATATCTGTTTTGAAATATTTTTATAACTGTAGACAGAGTATATCTCCGTCGCCGGGGATCTACTTTCTGTTAGCCCCACAAAGCCAAGAAAATCTTTGAAAATCAACGTAAATATGCATGGGAATTTTTCTTTTAATCTTCATAATCAGAGGGAAATCACAGGGTAATGAGATATCAGAGATCTGATTCCCACATTTCCTTTTATTTTCCGAGATATTTCTCGATTACCGTGGTTAAAAACATTGCGCAGGGATATTTTTCGTGCAAAAATCACGCTGTGTTAAAATCACGTTGCGCATTATGCAGTAAATGTTATATAATCCAAACAAAAAATGATCTTGATCGCCATCTGACAAATTTACATCAAGATTAGTATCAGCAATAGGGATTGTTTCTTGATTTGATAAATTATGTACTGGTCACAGTGACAGCATTTTGCTGATAAGCCATCGACGCGAGCTAGCAATCACCTGTGAGATTGTTGATGCAAAGTCGTTTGTCTTTGAACTTGTTTTATAAATAAATATATTTGATATTTTAATGACGCGAAGAATGCAATTCCATTTGAGTACAATACATATTTTCAATATTTAATATCAGTAGCAATTTTCATTTTTGTATTTTTATTTAGATGCAAAATTATTAAGACAATGCCTTTTAAAATGAAGAATAAAAATATTAAATATTATTTCGTAAATCGGAAAGTTGGAAATCAAGATTTTAGAAGATATATTTTCACCCTTCCATCATTTTATGAATTGTAATCACGATGGGTAATCGGAGAGCTCACATCTCGAGTCACGGCGGGTAGTCAGATATTAAATGATAAATTGGAATTCAGGCGGGAAACTTTGACGTCTGTAGAGGCAAACTCTACGGTTTGTTAAAAAGTATTGCAATCATTCGACTCAACTGATTCAAATGTATAAACCACGAGGAAAAAGTTGTTAATGTATTTTCGTTTTTAATAATAAAAATACAGTACATGAATTAAAGTTGGTATGCCACTTGAAAAAGAAATCGCCTGTATCTTAATTTTTGCCATTTAACATTTTATTACATACACATAAATACAGATATAGATTAATAACTTATATACGTAAATTACAACTTAAAGAGTTCATATATAGATAAAAACTCACCATTTGATATGAATAAATAAGATGACGTCATGGCCGCACGTGCTGTCAGTGAGTTGGCAGTGACCAGGCCCCTTCCATTCTCCACACAGAGAAAGCATAACTGAGTCTTTCATTGGCAACATAGTTACAACTGGACATCTTAGAGTCACTAAGAATGTCATCGTTTCTTAACACTTGATATAAGAAGTCAATATATCTTGTCGCTAATTTAAGAGTTTGTATTTTGCTAAGCTTGTCAGACGGAAGTGTTGGAATGATTGTTCGTAGCTGGGTGAAAGCGTCGTTAAGACTCTGAGTACGTTGTCGCTCCCGGACGTTTGCCATGCATCTTTGTGTTTGCAGATCTTCCAAAGACTGGGGACCTTTCCGCCTCTTTTTCGACCCATTTTCACTTCCGTCCATTGAACCGTCTGGGGACGACACATTTTCAACACTGTCACTTCGTCTGCTGAACTTCCGCTTCTTTGGTTGTGTTCGTCCTTTGAGAGACTGGTTATCACTTTCGTCACTAAGGCTATATTCGGTATGCTCTTGTTTTATTGAAAAGTCCAAATGTTGATGCGCAAATGAAGCGAACTGTTGTAATTGCTGGTGGGTGGGGTGATGTTCGTTCAGATATTGGTGTTTGGTCAAATGTGGTAACGGTGGCGTGTTTTCCATACCGGAATTTGTGTCCGATTCCTTCTTGTCCATCTGGAGAGTATGGTCCGGAATCATACTTCTAAAAACTGCTTAAATGTTTCTTAATTTTAAGTTTGTTCAAATTTATGACGCTTATATTCAAAAACTATTGTCCTAGCTTAAATTCAGATTTACATGAAAAAAAAAATGTAAACACAAATTATCAAAGTAGTTTCGTATGTCTTCAATTATCACTAATTATCACCAATACATCACTAATTCCACCTTTCGCACGACACGGATGATAAAAATCAAAAACACAACTTTCCCCCGAATGTTACTAATTTTAACTCCACGTGCAGAAATTGAGCGTTAACTCTATGCGAACGTTATAAGACAGTACCTCCACGGAGATGTTGGAGTGATTTTTTCATTTTTCTATTTCCAGAAATATATATGAGAAAATGCTACCAAAATCTTAGTGGGCGGAGTTAGCGTTCAGAGATTACCTCTAAGAAGCATTCTGCGCATTGCTTATGCCAGAGAAGTGTCAATCAAAACAGCGGGGCGTTTCGCGCATGACAAATGGCGTCTCGGATTACGTTTCCCGTACCGGCGTGCGGCTTCGTGGTGATAAGGCATAGCACTTCTTCTGCATTTGTAATTGGTGATCAAAATGAATCAAACAGAGTCATAAATTACTCAGACTTTGTTTTCACGTTGCATGTAACAGCATGTAGCACGGGTCTGTTTATACCAGTACGACAAAATACGCATTACACAAAAATATATACAGAACGTATTTTACGAACAAAATACCGTATTGCAAGTAATATATATATATATATACATAATCAATTAAGACACATTTACAATTTATTCAAATATAGGTAAATTTGCTTCAAAACAATTTATATGCTTTGAAATAAAATTCATGTTCACATAACCTAATTTGGAAAAGACTGCGCCGATTTCACTTTTCTTTTAGATTTTTTTTAAAAAAAACCGCATAATTATTTATTTACATATCCCTTAAGAGAAAATGTCAGTAAAAATATTCATATGTCCGAAGATATTCATTAATATACTTTAGTATAGAAAATGTGAAGAAAGTATAATTTAATAATGACTAATATATCATTCTGTTAAATATATAAATAACTGAATATAAATAAAAGTATTTTTAAAAATGTCTTAATTGAAATTTTGTTAGATCTACAGTTTTTTTATTAATAAGTTTTTATTATATTTTGTTGTTGTTGTTGTTGAAAATTTTGTCATTTTTAATTAACTTCAAAATTCAACACAGAAACAATTATTTCTGATGACCGGAACTGCGCAAATCATATATGAATTTCCCAGTTTTTTTTTCAAATGGTAAAAAATGAAATTTGCGAATAAATATCACTTAAAATATTAATTTTAGCATTATTTATTTTTGGCCAGAAGTCTTCCTCGAATTCCATTATCGTAAAAGTATTTTAATACATTATGTATATATCAATGAAATAGTATGTTTTGTGAGTAAAATTAACCTTAAATAATCTATATTTGCATCATTCATTATGAAATCATATTTGTCAACAAAAACTACATCTGAAAAATGGTGAAAAATATTTTTTAAACGAATTAGGAATGTACGAGTATTTTATTCATTGTCTTATACACATGTTTAATGCGTGTTTAATGCGCACTGTATAAATTTGAAAGAATATTTTCAAGTCTACATTTCTCAGTGAGAAATATAAGTAATATTTCACTCCAAAATTTTTTTTTATATGTATAATTATTATTATTTAAATCTAATTATAATGTAATGATATATTATGTAAGTAAAGTGGGGACGTAGAAGGCATCCTATGTTAACGGGACTGACAGCTTCTATGATCCGTGCCAAACTGAAGTGTAAAGTAAACAGAAATCTGGAGATATTAGTTAGGTTTGATGATGAAAAGCATTTCCTTGACAAGTTGATATTTAAGTGCATTAAGTGCCTAAGATGACGAACATGTTTGTTTACTCCAGGGTATAATCCCATCTGGCCTATTAGGTGACAAAATGATACCTTCTTTCTTCCGTTAAACCCGTGAAACACCGTACTTGAGGGTCATAAATTGCTATCAAGTACACGTTAATAAATTTATTATCCAATTTATATCCGATTAAATTAATTGCGTTTAAATAAAAAATAAATAGGATATAATCAATTAAGAATTTGTTTGATTTTTTCACCCCATGCTTTAATTTTTTATCTGTCCGTCTATCGAGGAAATCAACTTTCTCTTCTTTCTTTTTCTTGGTTGGGTTATACATCGCACAAGGACAGTATAGGTCATATGGCGACTTTTCACCTTTACTGGTGAAGGAAGTCCTCATGTGCCTTTCCGTAGATTATTTCAGGCACGAACGGGCACATGAGTAGAACCACCGACCTTCCGTAAGCTAGATGAACAGCTTCCTCACATAAAAATCTAAAGTCAAAGTATGGATTCGAACATATCACAATGAGGGGCAATTGGTTTGAAGTCAACGACCTTAATTCGTACTTCGTTTCATTATTTATACACATAAAATATTTCAGACAAGTTTCCCTGATTGCTCTATTTGCGTTCATTGTGTGTTCGTAGCCTTGAAATATTCTTATTACTATTTTGCATAAAACAAATAAGAAAAGCTACATCACCAAAGCCAACATTGAATTCCTAATGGGAAAAGGACAACGTCTTCATCCGGGTTCATTTTATCATTTAACATGGTACTAAACAAACCAAGAAAAAAATAACCAAGTTTCAATGTTTTAGGTTAAACTCTTACTCTACCGGAAACGGAAGTCACCAGTATAAAGCCAGGTTACAAGAACCGTGCTGTGGTACCAGGCTAAATACTGATGAAAGTTTAATTTTCAACTTGATTTCTCCAAAAAAGATCATGGACAGTTCCAAACTATATTCGCTGGACAAGTCCATTCCATTTAAAAACTTCAGAAGGTTAACTTATTTGATAATTTCTTCTTTGATACTTTAAAAGTTTTGCCTAGCCTTAACATAGAAAAAGAAAAACGGATAACTTCGGTTTTTCTTTTAACATTTTCATAAAAATATATCACACTTCTGTTATAGTCACCTTAAGCTATGCATGTTTGCTTTGCGATTAAACATAAAAAGAAAGCAGAGCGTACGTTATCGAAGCCTTATGGACAAAAATGCAGGACTCTGAGCCCAGCGGTCGTGATTTCGAGCCCTACCTGTGTCTCGAACCTGCTTTTCAGGGAGTGAACTAGAGCTTGATTGAAAGTTAAAATAAGAATTTTTCTTACAATTGCGCATATATAGAAGACTTAAATGACAATTAGCAATGCTATAATGTAAAGAGATTACTATTATGCATTTGACAAAACAACAACAACAACAACAAAAAAAACAAAAACAACAACACCCCCTCGCAAAAAAACAAAAAAAACCCCCAAAAACAGAAACTATTTTTTCTTTTGTATTTCTCAGTAATAGTATTGCAACTTTTTTTTTAAATTCATAATTACATTTTCCAATCATATGCAAACCAAAAACAGCACTATTTTGAACTTGTACTGAGTCGCAAAGTTTTGATATTTAGTCGTTTTTTTATATTGACTATAAAAACCGAACTTTCCGAATAATGCCCATTATTTCATTATAATATCCCTTTGGCAATTTGGATTTATATTAAAGAACAATAAAATCGCAGAAGCAAATTTTATGAATGTAATTTGAATTACAGCAGTGAGAAGTGAATCAAATAATGCATTCTAACATCTGTTCACACTTGAAACAAAATGAAATAAATGTACGAATAAAAAAAACCAAAATAATAAAAATATTAAGAGAACTGTATGTAATAATATATGCAACAGTACACGTATTAAATCAAGTGTATTTCATATACAAAACACATAAGATTACAGTATTCTTATAAAATGAATGAACGCTCTAAATTTTGACAACTTTATTCAAGTATTTCTTGAGGATTTCGCCTAAAACAATGTGAGACAGAGAAATCATATTGCAAAATTTCATATTTATGTTGTCAATTTTCCATTGTCGTTTAGATGATATTTTTATAAAAATAAATTCAAACACAAAATTGATTAATATTTATTAGTAAGCATTTACTACATTACATTGGTCGCACGACAGGTCTTATTCCATAAAGCAAGTTTAAAAACTGAAATAACTTTTGTTACATATATATTTCTTTTGGATAAAATGTACATCTTCTCGATGCATTAACAATCTTAGACATATCTCACCACTTTACCCACGACCCCAATCCATCTGTTATAAGGTAGGTAAAAGTTCATCTTACAAATTAAAGGCCCACTGAACTTTCTTGTAAACTTTCATTCCATTTTGTCTGACACATAATAGGTCTAATTGACAACTAGGCGTTTCTTAGTAATTTCTGCCCATTCACTGTTTCTTTTGATGCCTGCATATTAAAAGATGAAATTCCATCCTTTTGTACAAGTTTGATAGCTTAAGCATCATTGATCAATCAATTTTATATCTGCAAACTTCGTAGATCTGAAATTGGAATCTTTCATAAAAACTAATTTATTACAGGGTATGAACTTGCAGCTATATTTTAATTTTAGCAGAGTATTAACATTACCTCCGTGAGTATAAAAGTAAAGTAAAATGTGTGGTATTGGTAGTTTTCACTCCGGATCATGGCAGTAAGCCACATTGAATTTACCAGAGCACAGTTCAGCCAACGCATCGTTCCTAAGAAGGCTGACAAGCAGTTTACCACTACTAGTTGCCGTCACTTCCGCGCAAGGGACAGATCTATAACTTCTGTTCATCCCAGAGCAAAGGTACAGTTCGAATGATCGTAGAAAGGTATTCCATGATCAATTACAATGAAAATGACCGGCATCGTCCAGAGAATCGAACCTGGGTTGCCGGATTCACAGTGCAAAGCTCTACCTATTGAGCTAATCAGACAGCTTGGAAAAGTAAAGTAAATTCTATGTGAATTATATATGGCCTGAACAAAAAATGTGTGGTGTCGTGTCATTATAACGGAATTGGAGACATGGTCGGGCGAGAGGGGTATTATAGAAGTAACTGAAGATGATGGAATATCAAAACGTATTCGCAAATATTGGGCTTCCCTGACAAACACAAATAGCCGATCTACTAAACTCGACCAAATGCAGAAACCTAAAGAGGAACAATCATATTTAATACAGCGCTTCCAAATTTTACTGCAGAAGACCAAACCAACCGACCGCGATCTAGGTATTTTGTGTCAACTATGTGCTATTCGATTAGCCATATTTTATTGATTTATGCAAGGTTTATTCACATAGTTATATTTAAAATATCTGAAACATAAGTCTCCGGAATATTCAACTGTCCGATGCATCAACTTGACTTATTATTCTAGTTTGAAT